GAGGGAGAGACGATGACGGAGCACGACGGAGGAGGGAGAGACGATGACGGTGGGAGGGGGGAGGGACGGAGGGTGGCGAGGGATGGGAGGGGTGATCTTAAGGTTTTTCCGAATGGGTGCAGATTTTTTTAGGGGTATGGGGGGGGTCGTGGGGCCCAGATGGTAGATAAAGGAGGAGGATAAGGTTGAGCTGAGGTCTTGCAGTAGGAGATAGCAGGGTGCTTTTTTTTTTGTTTTGAAAACGGCTTAGAATGTCTGCAGAGAAAAGGTGAGGGGGGAGAGGGAGGGGAGGGGAGGGGCGGCAAGTATTTTGCCGAACGGGTGCAGTCTTGCAGCACGTGGTGGAGCGGAGGTCTTGCAGCAGGGTATCTCAGGGGGGGTTAGAAAAGGGGTTAAGAGTATTTAGATGGGGCTCAGCAAAGGGGTTTAAATATTCCGATAGTGTTCAGAAAAAAAGGGGGCCGGGGCCGGGGGGCCAGGGTCTGAGGGGAGAGGGAAAGGGGAAGAGATGATGCACAAAGGGTCCGCCAGTTTGGAACCTTCCTCAGCTGTTAATTAACAATTATATCAATTTATTTACATGTATGTGCCATTCCGCCGCAAAGCTGACTGGTACTTCTTCTTCTTCTTCTTTTTTTTTTTTTTATTATTATTTTTTAATTTTTAATCTTTCCCGGCCCGTAATTACCTTCTCCTCTGCCTTTGTTGAGCCTTGATTCTTTTTTTTTTTTTTTTTTTTTTTTTTTTTTTTAACCTTTCCTTGCTGTTGGCCCCCTCGTCCAGCCCCTCCATTCTTTCCTCGAGGGTTTCGACGTCCACCTCCAAAACGGGAATGATCATATCTGCAGATCCACCGTGTATCCCGATCGGAACCGTCATTACTTTGTATCCCGTCCGGAGGTTGGGAAGTCCGTACCTTCCGCATCGAGGTAAGAACGTAGGCGGCTGGTGTTAGGATCCCGACGCCTAAAAGCATCTTCAGATCGGGACTTTCTCCTCGACTGAATGCGGCCCTGTTTGTGACCAGATGCATCCCTCTTGTGAGGATGCCCCGCCCTAATGTGCTGATTGATCCTATCAGCGACGGGATATGCAAAAAAAGAAAGGAACCATTCGGCTAAGATCAAGTTCCTAACTGCAGATTTGAAGGAATTACGAAAGCGGGCAACAGACCATACCGAGTTACTGAATCTTCGGTCCCTGCGGGCCATCCACAGGACCCAAAAACCAATAATGCGAAAATTTGTTACCAATCTTTGATCTAGCAGTCGTAGACTGATCTCCGAACAAGCCCATACTCTTAGTCCAGTACGACATAGATCCATATGTTGCGAACCGCAGCCTACTCAACCATTCCCAGAAGCCTCTAGCAACCACGCATTCCCACCAGAGGCGAGAAGAGTCTTCCAGCGATATGTGGGGACAGGCGTCGCATCCTGCTGGGATGTCCATACCTTTCGCTGTGCACCAGGCTGCAGTGGGTCGCATCCTGCTGGGATGTCCATACCTTTCTCTGTGCACCAGGCTGCAGTGGGAACACAATTGTGTAGGTGTAACCACTGAAGCCCCGCGAGCTTGACCTCTGTAATCTCCATGATGATTCTGATGAAGAAGTGGACGCAGGCCAGCGCTGGACTTGGTAGCTGCATTTTTTTGCATTGTCTGTTCCATGAGTCCCATACTCTGATTTGGAGCGATGAAGATTTGGAGCTAGGCTACCAGAGTGGCCCGGGGTCACTTGCCCGGCCGGGCCAAAAAAAAAAAAAAAAAAAATTTTTTTTTTTTTTTTTAATTTGGTAAAGAATTTCGATGCCACCCTGAGGCAAAAGTTGTTCAGATTATTTTTCTGCACAACGTAGTTTTTGTTTCGGAGTTTTTGGTGTTTTTTTTGCTGGGACCTTCCCTGTTCCTTGCACGGCCGGACCACCCGGGAAAACAGGGTGACCCGGGCGGCCCGGCTGGAGTGAATTTTGTAGCCAATTCGTGAAGAGTAATCATGCAGTAGTACTGTGGTAACTGCTGTAGATTCCGGTGTAGTATTCCAGCCCATTCGCGTTACTTTCTGCCCTCTAAGTACTGTAGTCCGAGCCATTCTTCACTGGAGTGAATTTGGTTCTGCTGTCCTTTCCAATCTGCACCGTGACCCTCACTTCGCAGCAGTGCTCCAAATTGAGTGTCTGAGTAGGAGGGTCGGAGCGTCGCAGTGTTCCTTTGTTCTGTCTCCAAGAGGAGACCTCAGCTGCCTGCCTGGTGCCCTGTTTGGTTGCACGAAAGTACTCTTCTTGAGTTGTGGAGTCCCTCCACCAGGAATCTTGTTCCATCCACAGTCGCTTCGCCCTCCTGCAGCTTCGCTTTCCAAGTATCCGGTATAGTGGCAATCAGGAGGTTCCTATGTTGTTCCACATTGTGAAGACCTCGCAGTTTCTCCCTCTGAGTTTCAATGGACTCGCTTCTTAGAAAATAAACAGTTGGCTTTCTCTCGTCACCTTTGGGACGAAAAGGAGGACTTGATCCTCCCCCAGGATCCAGAAGTTGTCTGCTTATAAATCTTTTTTGAGAAGAAAGGGACGCTGGACGCGATTTCCAGCAGGTGGAGCTCCCCACCAATAGAAAGGAGTAATCTAAGGGTGACCCCTCTGACATGGCAGTGCTCATTCACTCCAGGTCAGATGGCCATCCGCCTGATTTTCAAAAAAAAAGAAAGGAACGGCCTCGTACCTGACGCTTCGGGCAAGCGGACCCCCCTCGCTCTACCTTCTTTCCCCGAACACAACGCACCCTGATCATGAATGTACGTCGGCTATGTTTCCGGTCAGATACAGTCATGATGAGGATGCCTTGCGTTCGGCGGGGGGGGCAGGGGGAAGATGGTAGGAGCCTCCTAGTAGTTAGTAAACTGCCACTTGTACCCCTTGCCTTCCCCCCGAACATAAGGCATGGCAAATTATACCTGTATGTGGCCCGGAAATGACCCTAAATTCAGCGGTGCATTATGGTTAACCTTTTTTTTTTTTGTTTATTTTTTTGATGAAAGGGTATTTGGGCAAATTTTGGATGAAAGTGCAATTTCTCTTTGGGAGTTTTGAGGTGTTCACTTTTTTTTTTTTTTTTTCCCCACTTTTTTTAGTTAATATTTCAAGGAAAATGAGCAATAGCGGAATGACAGAATTCCAAATTACAAAAACACATTGAAAGCCAGATATTTGGAAGCTGTCCAGAAAGCAGAAATGCACTGATATCACACCGAAGGAGCCAGACTACGATCCTACAGCTACTCTATTAGCCCACGAAATGACGTAGCAACCCGTTGACGTCAGCAGCAGCAACCGAAGTACATGCAAATGTCGACCATGCAGACCTCCACCAGGACCAGGTACATGCTCTCACATCACCTCCACACTCGCCCTCTCTCTATGCTCACCCTTGTCTTCTCCGCCTACGTCCCATCACCATACCAGGCCCACCACCTTACCCCGCCAGCTATGTCTGTCCAGGCCCGACTCTGGCTGCCTGGGTTATGCCGCTGCTCGGTAGCAGTGCAGCGCCCTCACTTCACGCTGCGCCCGTGTGCGCACGAGCGCTGCCCTCACATCCGCGCGCTATCCGTCAGCGCTGCCACCGAAACTTGCACGTGCCCGAATGAATCACTCGAGGTCAGGCACTTTGCTATATGCGAAGTGGCCTTTCCCGATCGCAGCCTTGTGTGCCCGGTATAGCTTCAGGTTGGGCCGAAGTGTCTGTGCCTGGGCCCACTCAGACAGTGGGCCTGGGACTGAATTGGTTAGGCGTGCCCAACCACCCAAGAGCAAACGTGAGGTGTGTTCCTTGCTTCCACTGTGTAGCCAGAAGAGCCTACAAGGCTCACAAATGCTTCGGATTCTCACGAGCAGGGCGAATGTAACCAACTTGCTCGTGGCAACTGTCGCGTGCCCACCCAGGCTCTGCAAAATTGACGAAATTAGGCCTCGTTGAGATTCGGGGCCCCGCTTTTGCTTAGGTCGCGGGCATGTGCTTGCTTCAGGGGCCACATGCATGTATTATGGCGAGGGATCAAATCCTCGCAATATGGTGTCGACTCTATGGATTGGCGGCAAGTTTGGTCGAAAGGACCGTTGTTTTTTCTTGTAAATGGGGCCCCGCCTTCGCTTAGGGTGCGGACATATGCTTGCTTCAGGGGCCACATGCATGTATTATGTGGACGGATCAAATCCTCACAATATGGTGTCGACTCTATGGACTATGGATTGGCGGCAAATTTGGTCGAAAGGACCTTCGGGTTTTCTTCTTGTAAATGGCATGCGAAAACGCTGAAAATTCACGCCTCCGTAAACCTGCTCTCTACATGTGGCATATGAAGACCCTGCAGATAGATTAGCATTGGCGGCCTGCAGAATCTGTAACAACAAGTGGTGGCCTGCAGTTCTAGCAACTTGCGCTGCGACGGTCTTTTTTTTTTTTTTTTTTTTTTTTTTTTTTTTTTGGAATGCTGTGATTGATGACAGTACAGCTGTGATTGTTGATGTCATTAAAATCTCATGTGGATGTACAGCTAATTCATTCGTTGCTCGGAAGCGGAATGAGTTTCGCTCGCCATGTTGAAGTGTAATAATTGTCGGAAGACCATGTGGGGATCTGGAAATCACTTGAAGACTTTTGATGAAGGGAACAGGTGGATGGATTGATTTGATTGATTGATTGATTTGATTTGATTTGATTTGATTTGATTTGTTTGATTGATTGATCGAATTGAAGGATTTTGTCGGAAGACCTTGTGGGGATGGGGATGATGGCTTGATTTGATTGTTTTCACGAGTGATTGATTGATTGATGGATGGATGAATCGATTGATGAGTTGATTGATTGATTGATTGTATTGATTGATTGATTGATTGTATTGATTGATTGATTGATTGATTGATTGATTAGTTGATTGACAGGCTTGATGCATTCTCAAAGTGGGATGTGATGTGGAAATTGTCGTCTTGTTTTTTTGGATGCAGAAGCTGAGAAGAGATCATAAGACTACCACTGTAGAAGTCTGTGGTGGTCGGGACCCCTATTGAAGATCTACTTTATCTCAGGCGGCCTGATGTACGTGACAGCCTCGGCGTCGTCGAAGGCTCTCGCATCCCCTGCTCCATGCTTCCATTTGTCTGTGTCACGCCAGCTTGGCTCCTGCAGATTTCGCTGTACTTTTCGCGTTTAAGTCGATTTAACAATTTCTTAATGTCATCAGGCAACAGAAAAACGAAGCAAGCTGATGTGCGTGTACGTGCGTGTGTGTGTGTATGTATGAACAATAAGCTCATTCAGAGACACACATACATGAGCGTGCCCGGATAAGGAGGCCCCTTTTCTACTCCACTTTTTGGGGGGATTCTTGTTCCTGGGGAGGGTGTTGCGGAAGGAAGGTGCATCTGGATCTGATCTCCCTCCATTTTTCCTGCCACGTAGTGTCCGCGTTGAACGAATCTGTGTATGCAGCTTGGTCAGGTACGCGGCAGGAATGGAGGGATCGGTGCCGTACATGGAGGCGGTTGTGACTTTTATGGTTGTAATGTACTTTTTTGAGACTTATTTGGACTTCAGACAGCACAAGGCGTTGAAGTCGGAGAAGCTTCCTCGCGCGCTCGTTGGTGTTGTTAGCCATGAAAAGTTTCTCAAGGCCCGCGCATACAGTCTCGAAAAGAGTCGCTTTGGGTTCGTCCAGGGCGCGGTGGTGTTCTCCGAGAACATTGCCATTCTGTTGCTTAAGTTATTGCCTTGGTTATGGGACTACTCGGGAACGCTGGTGTTCAAACTGGGCTTTGATCCGGAGAACGAGATTCTGCACTCGCTCGCTCTTCTGGCGGTGACCACAGTGTGGGCACAAGTGCTCGGGCTACCGTTCTCTATTTATTCGACGTTTGTCATTGAAGAACGACATGGCTTTAACAAGCAGACGCCGTGGCTTTTCGTCAAGGATGTCTTGATGGAGCTGTTGCTCGCGGCGATCCTCGGTCCGCCGGTGATTACGGCGGTTATCACGATCGTGAACAAGGGCGGGCCGTACTTTCCCTTGTACCTTTGGGCGTTCATAGTGCTCTTTTCGCTGCTGATGATGACCATCTTCCCTATCCTGATTGCGCCGTTGTTCAACAAGTACACGCCTCTGCCGGAGGGGACTCTGCGAACGAAGATCGAGAACCTGGCCTCGTCGCTCAAGTTCCCCTTGAAGAAGATCTTCGTCGTCGACGGTTCGAAGCGGTCGAGTCACAGCAATGCGTACATGTACGGATTCTTCAACAACAAGCGCATCGTGCTGTACGACACCTTGATTGCGCAGTGTAACGACGAGAGCGAGGTCGTCGCAACCCTCGCTCACGAACTTGGGCACTGGAAGCTCAGTCACACCGTATACAATCTCTGCATATCGCAGATCTTGGCGCTTGTGCAGTGCGCCGGGTACGCAGTAGTCCGGAACAGCAGGGCGCTATTCGAGAGCTTCGGCTTTTCGGTCCAGCCCGTTGTGATTGGGTTCATGCTTTACGAGCACATCATTACGCCAGTACACCACCTTGTGAGTTTCGCGATGAACCTGCTCAGCCGGTCGTTTGAGTTCCAAGCCGATGCCTTTGCGAAGAAGCTTGGCTATGGCAGCCAGCTCCGCGGGGCACTGATCAAGATGCAGGAGGAGAATCTCTCCACGATGAACACGGATCCATGGTATTCCGCTTACCACTACTCTCACCCTCCTCTCGTCGACAGGCTGAGCGCACTTGGAAAAGTGGAGGACGAACACCGCGATGAAGATATCACATCGGCCGGTGGGGAGTTGAAGAAAGACAAGTGAAAATGAACAGCGATGTCGAGCATATGGCAGTGCGCCCAGTGCCTATATATGTCGCTCCCTCTAGAAAGGCGGATGGCTGCTGCCCAGTGCCCACTATGTCGGTAAGGGTGGGCTGTGCATTCTCTCCCCCCAAACAACGAGCTAGGAACTCGGCGGTTTTGAAAAACAAAGACAATCCTTGTTTGAGGTTATCATGAAACAACGTGGAAAGACGATCGTTGTTTCTTAGCGGCTATTATGGAACAACGCGAGCGAATGCTTGTTTGGCGCAAGGCGCACAGCACGGACCGGATGTGTGTCTACTACTGTCTACTGGATACGTCTGGCCTGATGTGCTTGTGCAATTCTTTCCGGATTAAGCCACCAGTTCAATTCCCAGCCGTTTTGCGAAAATGTGCCGGGTGTACGGGCCTGCCTGTGCACGTTCAAATCCATTCATTTTCCGAATGTGTTTGGAGATTCTTGGGAATGGCAAAGGGACTGGTGGGGTTCGATGCATCGGCTGCAGGTGTGTTCGGCTGCTGGCAGATTTTCCTCCTACCTGCCCCCATTATTGCCGTGGACTACATGAAGCTCCTGCAGAGAGGGCGCAGCCATAAAGGTTGAGAGAAACAATGGGGATGCACACACGCATGCATGCACGTGCACACACACACATGCACTCATGTGCACACACGCATGCACGCACATGCACACACACATGCTCACACGTATGCACACATGCTTGCACGCACGTGCACATGCACAGCAAAACTGTCTGTCACAGCCACACTTCCTTTGCAGTGTTATGCTCAACGTAAACAACAAGGCATGAAGACGGTGTTTGGACAGGCGAGTGATCGTGATAGATTGTGTGTGTGTGTGTGTGTGTGTGTGTGTGTGTGTGTGTGTGTGTGTGTGTGTGTGTGTG